GTGCTACTGGGTAGGCAGAGTCCATACTTGCATGCAGGACAATTCTTCTCCTCGTTTCAATGTTGGTGCTAGATCTAGATACTTTGTCGTATACTCGTCTACTATGAGTCGCGATTCATCTCACGCCGATTGGCATTACTATCGCTTGACTTCTCGTTGTCGTTAAATTTACTGCTTTTTCAGATTAATACTCCATCGTCAATATAAGTTGTACTCGCAGCACCTCCAAATATCACCTGAGTTACCTGAGATTCTCAGAATGATTTCCTCCATCTTCAAACACATGGTGCTTTCAGTCATCTACTTGAGCTACTTGAGCTACCTGATATGGCATTGGCGGTAAATTCATAACTTTCTACCTAGGTACAGTATATAGAAGCAATTTAAGAACTTGATTATGGATCTAAGAAGAAGTTTCTGCTCAGCCTTCGCACTTCTCGTCCCTCCTAAATTGTTTCTCTTGAGGTCCAATCGCGATAATTCACTCGCTAAGTCCAGCAGTCAAGCTAATCGGTTGTACTTACCCCTCACAGAGTGTACAGAACAGAATCGTAAGTTCACCTGCTTAATATTCACCCACCACTACCGCTCTTCATTCACAGTTCCTGTTATAATCCACTCGAATTCCCACCTGTGAAATCGAGGTATATGGAATTCAAAGTCTATAATGCTATTCCGCCAAGAAACGGGTACGAAAATACGCTTGAATCCATCTGATAGCTGCATATAGCTCGCTTGAAAAGTGAATAAGAAGCGTTTTAGCTCGAAATTATCACTCGTGTGCTACTATTTAATCTCCTGAGTCCCTTTACTGTTTTATTTCAAGGGTCTCAGAACCCCAAGAAAGGTAGTCAAGGATGCAGCCAAGGTTGCGACAGCAACAACCTCTCTAGAAACGAAAAAGGTAGGTAAGAAATGATTGTGATTTAGAACTGTATCAAACTAATCACAAGACAATATCGATGGATTCTTCCTTGTGACAGTAGGTGAAACAAACTGTAACATTCGAAATTTCAGTGATAGGAGACGAGACATCCCACTCGACAATCACCCAAGTCAAGAAAAGAAATATTCGACCTCCTACCCTTCCCGCTTTTTTCCAAAGCTTGCTCGGACTTGTGCAGTCCTAATCTGTCTAGTATCATTATTTCCGCTAGCATTACCTCTTGTCATTCCTAGTTCATACCATAGAAACATATATAAAGTGCGGTTTGTTTTTTTGAAGTGTTACCCTCGAGCTAGGTATTCACACATGCGTAATTGCCACTTAAAATTCCTATATATTCACTCTATAGCATCCCGCTTCTCTCTCAAACACCATCATACTGTTGCAAACCCATCAATTATTAGCCAAGAACCAAATCAGCCCCTCCCCTCTCCTGTATGGCACGTGAAACCATATTCACAAACCCAGTTCCAAGTTCCAACTCTCTGATCTCGTCTAGAAAGAAATAATCATACGCTATAAGAGCTGAGTATTCTACCCAAATGCGATATCACAATCACAGAAAAAACAGCTTTGCGATAGAGCGATAAGGATCTTGCCAGATACCTAATCATAACAGAGTACCTTTGACCACCTAGATAGTATTCAACTCCGCCATCAATACATGGTACATATACCATAAACACTACCCACAAAAACAGCAGAAAACGAAGAAGAAATCCGAAACAACAACACTCAATCAAATCAACGATGATAAACCTTCAGCTAGTTGAGATGAGAATAAAGCCACACATCCATACCTCTTACATAACATAACATAACATAGCATAACATAACATAAACGAAGAAAATACATCATTAAACCTCCCCAACTCCCTACTTGGCGTTATCTCAGCACGATCATCAGCAGGTGAATTGGAAGAACAGAGATTATGATCTACTTTAACCTTGCGGAACCGTACAGTCGATGATTTATATATCACGCAGGTGTGTGAAGACTTACTGGATATCTATGTACATACTAGGTACACACTCCATAAATCATCTCTGCTCCTCCTCTTCCTCTTCCCCTTCCCCTTCAAAGCTATTCAGGAGATAAAACCTCAAGCGAACTAAAAGTATTCAAGTACTCAGAACACATTACCCCCCCCCCCCTCCCCCCTCTCCAAACTTATTATCCCCTAAGACTTCAAACTTCAAACCTCAAACCAATCCATCCATGATCCATCCGTCTATCCATCACTCACTGAATACCTGAATAAATAAGTCAAAAACACTCCTAATTCTAACTCCAACTCATCAGACCAGACCAGTAAAAACTTCATATTCTCATTCATATTCTCATTCATATTCTCATTCATATTCTCATTCATATTCTCATTCATATTCTTATTCTTCTTCCATATCTTTATTGATTTACTCCTTATATATACCTACCTACATACCTACGTACCTACACACATACATACATCACACCACAAACTCATTAAAGAAACCCAGGTACTTCTCCGAACAATCCATAGACCGAGCACCTAGATATACTTTTAAGAATGCAAGAGTATGTGAAATGCTATATCGCAGAGAGACAATGATGGATAGTTAACTACATATATACCCGTGGATATTTATACACACTATAGTATTGAATTTGTATACTTCATCCGACTTCGGGGTGCAGCTTTAGTGAAGTGAAGTGAATTGAATTGAAGCGAATTGAATACTATAGCTACAAGTATCAACCATCTCATCCGAGTACTTTCAACTTTGCTGGGACCCGGGAATTTGACGAGGAGGTGGGAGAACATATATAAATCTAAGTTTAACTCTATATCTAAATCTACATCGGTATATAAATACAGAACCCCTCAAGCCCCCTTCAACCCCCTCGCTAAAGTTTGCGACCTCACTGCTTTCCGCTGCGCCTCCTCAGTGCCCAATCCCCAACCCCTCAAGAACGCCATGCGCATCGCCGCCGCCACATACACAAACCCGACATTTCCCCACGCCATCTTATTCCAGGCGCCCACATTCCAATAGATGCTCCAACCCAGGTCCTTGACACTATACAGGTGACCGAAATCCGCGACGAGCAGCCCAAACAGGAAGACTTTCCAGACGCGGAGATCGGATGTGCAGCGGAGAACGAGGGCTTCGTTGAGGGCGAGGAGGAGATACAGGTTTGCGAGTTGGGTGAGCGCGATGTGGGCGGAGAGGGGGATGTCGTTGGGGGTGGGGTAGGGAGAGGAGGGGGCGTGTGTGAGCAGCAAATATTGGTGTGGTTTGAAGTGGGCGTAGTAGGCTCCGGCGAGGGTGGATAGCGGTTCGATGATGAGGAAGAACCAGCTGTAGGCCATGGGGAGACGGAACTCGGGTGGAGCCATGATGGTGAGATATTTTTTTCTGGGGGTTGCAAGATTACGAACGTGGGGTTTCTCCGTTTCGAGGATGAAGGTTGGAGTGAGCCCGAAGGCTTGGTCTCTTTTTTTTTTTTGGCCGTTCGGAGGGGGTGGGATAGATGACGATTGGCAGTCGATTGATGACTCGGGTTGATCTCGATCGATGGATGAATGCCGATTTGATGGCAATTGACTCGGTTGATTCTTCTCTGCTAGTCTTTTGATAAGCTTGGAAATTGTATGTGTATGTGTGTATGTGCTAGGGACTAACTGTAGGTAGGCAGGGCAGTTGTATGTCCTCGAGTAACTGATTAACTATACGTAGGTAGGTAGACAGAGCTAGTACTCGTAAAGCATGAACAATGAACAATGACAAACTCGAATGGGGTAGCCAGACGGAACGGGACCTTCCCATCATCCCACTCACGGATAAAAAATTTGCAACAAGGCCGTCAAGCATTTAAGTCTGGGGGATCAGCGGATTAGGGTTCGTGGTAACCCCTTTTGATCAATTTTAATCCCGAACCTGAGTATGCCATGCTGCTTTGAGGTACTGGCATTTCGATTCTGATCTGATCTGAGTGTCGATGAGATAAAATTGAGGTGTGAGGTGAGATGATTTGGAAATTTACGTGATTGTTAAAGCGGCGATGTGTGATAATTGATTGGGGAATTTGATCCGATATCCATTGTATACGTGTGTGCGATTAATCAATTTTAACCCCTGGGATGGGATTCTTAGATACGGAGTAATCCATTTGAGATTGATGAAAGAATTTGGGGATGTCTGTTTGTTTGTCTTTCTGTTCATTGACCAATTGCTAAGTGAAAGGAAATCTTCAGATATATATAGACAGGTATAAGTATAGATATACTAGACAGATATAAAGATGAAAGATGTCTACTAGACAGCTAATATCATACATGCTTATTACTTTATATGGATATAGCCGAAGATATCTATCTATCTCGTAACCATTTCTTTGTCCTCCCTACCTCTTTCTCCCCTTTCTTCCCTCTTTTCTTCTTTCCATAGCGGCGAAGAGAAAAGATCTACAAACGAATGCTCGAAAGTTTATTCCGTAGAACCAACGGCTCCTCCGAAGTTTGATGGTGGGTGGGTGAGATGTGTCTATTCTTCTTGGAAAATGATTAGTAGAGATTGTCTAGGGAAAGCTACTCGAGTATTGAGATAATAATACGGAAGTATTTTCCTATTTTTCTATCTATTCTATTATCTATTCTATCATCTATTCTATATTCTATATCCTCCATTCTAGAACACATACACAAAGCGATTCGGATCAAACTTTATTTCTCCTAACCTCTCTCGAGCCTCTACCTAGACTGTAATGTAATGTAAATACTACTAATAATAAGAACAATGCTACAAATTCCCCTCTCTCTCCCAAAGTCGAGAGAAGAAGAATAAGATTTGCCTCTCCCTTGATAAGGTTTATCCCTCCTCCCCCAAGCCCTTAGCTATTTTTGAAATTTCCTTATCCGACGGAATATAAGCTGAAAAGAGAAATATCAAACAACGGCATTTCGCTTTTTGATTAAAAAACGGATTCCTTATTTATTTATTTATTTATTTATTTATTTATTGTTATTATTTATTATTATTATTTATTATTATTATTTATTTATTATTATTTATCTATCATTCCTATATTTATCTTGTGAATTGCAACGTTTTATCGATCCACAATTGAATTTGATTCCTCGACAGTCTAACCATCCGCCTTTCTTACATTTTCACAATCCCTCTTCAATTCCTCCATCATCAACACATTCATTTAATTTTATAAACCTGTCAATCTATCAATTCTTCCTCATTTCACTTTAATTCTTTTCTTTCTTTCTTTTCGGAAATCCAACACTTTACACCAAAATCTTCATTCACACCGCCCATTGTCTACTCAGACTATTACGCTGTTCCTTTCCCCGGACAACAAATTCATCCTGCAGGGACCATAAGTTTTGGCCCAATTATTTGAAGACTTCAAGACCACTCAATTATCTGCCAATTCTCTCAAGTCCATCCATACCCACCATAATTTCTTGATCCGGCCGCGACGACAATACGACAATGACTCGAATCCTTCCAAATGACGAATATTCACCTGTTCAACAGGCACGAGTCACCCTCAGAAGTCCTGCTTCGGCGAGAGGATGGGAGTTTCCAGCAGATACATCGAGCACAAACCGCACTCCCTTTCGCAGAATGCGTCTTGGATCGGTCCCCTTAGAAGCTGATGTGTTGGAGCGAATGTCAGACCTGTCCGTTGGTGAAGATTTGGAAGAACCGCTAGATGCGCGGCGGACAGGTGGCATAAGAGGTTTGATTCGACGTGCTTCAGTATCCATAAAGAACAGAAAGAGGAGACATTCGCATGCTACAGAAGAACGTCCATCCTCTTCATCCTCCCCTTGGCACAGACTACGACAAGCTACGAGTTTCAACAGAAATTCGAGGATGATACCATCTCACTTCAATTTTGATGGCCCCGTGGATTCTTGCTCGGAATTAGCTTCCCCAACACCTGGACATGGCGGCGCACCTCCAATTATCCCGATTGGGACCGGTGGAGCTGCGAGAGCTACTGCAGCTGCCCAGAATCTCTTCAAGAATCGAAACTTTTTGCGATCTGAAGACACACAACAGAATGATAGGGAAAGTGCTATTGGCATAGCGGTCAGTACATTAATCGACTCAATACACACCCAAGACACGTCAATTAGTCGGGTTGATTTTATAGGATGCCTTCCCATGGAACTCGCCACGCAAATACTATCTTATCTAGATCATATGTCTCTACGCAGAGTGGAACAGGTTTCTCGCAAGTGGGCATTTATGGCAGGATCAAAACACGTTTGGCGGGAGACTTTCTTGAGAGAGAAGTCTAGAGCGTATGCTATGCCCCATCCAGTTATTCCAGGAGTAGGAGATGGAGTCCCAGCTTTGGATCCTGAAACGGATTGGAAAGAAATTTATCGCATTAGGCAAAAGTTGGACGACAGATGGGTTCTTGGCGAATCGACACCAACTTATCTCCTTGGGCATACGGACAGTATTTATTGCACACAATTCGATGAGTAAGTTAATACTGCCTGTTTCTTCACTCGGGGACAATCATTAACATTTCCATAGGCACAAAATCATCACTGGTTCTAGGGATAGAACGATTCGTGTGTGGGATATCAAAACTTACAAGTGTGTCTTGGTCATTGGACCTCCAGCTATCGTGAACGATCCGGCTCTCTTGACCGCTTCTGATGGAAGTCTTGCACATTATGCGACAGGTCCAGTCGAACGAGGTCCAGATGAATTAAGACAACCTGGTAGTAAACCACGAACTGTTTCTTTCCCCATGCATCACAATGCATCGATCTTGTGTCTTCAGTACGACGATGATATCCTTGTAACTGGTTCATCAGACGGTACATGTATCATGTACGACATCAAGAAAGGATACGAACCAACTATGCGTCTGGAACACCACACTGCAGCTGTACTTGATCTCGCATTCGATGAACGATACATCGTTACATGTTCTAAAGATGTTAGTATCTGTATTTGGGATCGTCGCTCGGGTCAGTTGATAAAACAAGTTCGTGGTCATTCAGGTCCAGTCAATGCAGTACAATTGAGGGGAAATTCGATTGTAAGCTGCAGTGGAGATTTCCGAGTCAAGTTATGGAACATCGACACTGGGAAGAATATTCGAGAATTCTCGCGCCATACCAAAGGTCTCGCTTGCAGTCAATTCTCCGAAGATTCAAAGTATATCGCGTCGGCTGGTAACGATAAAACTATTCGTATTTGGAATGCCAACACTGGGGAGTGCTTAAAATTAATCAACGCTCACGAGAATCTGGTCCGATCTTTACATATCGATTCAATCAGTGGAAGATTGATCTCTGGAAGTTATGATCAGGATATTAAGGTCTGGGATATGGAAACGGGAAGTTTGTTATTAGACTTTCCAAAGTGGCATGCGAGTTGGGTGTTGGGGGCCAAGAGTGATTATAGAAGAATTGTTAGTACTGGGCAGGATCCCAAGATTCTGGTTATGGATTTTGGAGCTGGATTAGAGGGGATTGAGAAGTTGGAGAGTGGGCCCAGAATTGGGATTTGAGTGAAGTGAGAGTTTGAAAGACGGGGTGTGGTGTTGTGCTGGGGCATGGACTTTGGTTTTGGGATTTCTTTTTGGGCGTTGAAAAGCTGGGATTTTTTGGGGGGAGGCGGTCACTTCGTTGCTTCTTGATTCGTTCTATTTTATCGACATGATTAGAAAGAGGGAGGGGATAAATGGACTTGCTTTTGAGGTTGGACATGGATAGATCTTCTCTGGAGGGAGATGGCTAGGTGCTTTGGGATAGGACATGGATTTGGTATGCATGGTGGGTTTTAATATGGAGGCGTTCATACATACACTTGGGGGTATGAATTTCTAGAGCAAAATGGTATGCCAAGGATTCTCGATATGATTGGGGAATTAGTTCATGGATGGATGGGGATTGCACCACTTGAAAACTTTTTGGGCTGTATGCGGTGCATGCATTTATCATTAGACACGCTTTTGAGTTGGATCTTTTGTGTATAGAATTACCTTTTCATCTTATAGATGTTAAAGATGTCTAGAGATTGAGCAAAATATAAAATATTTATGTATCTTTTGTGTTGGCAAAGTTAAAGTATTAGTGTGATATCTTGTGGTGTACGAGCGTTTGAGATGTGTATTATGTCTTGGATGAGGAATGCAATGATGAGATATTCTATCTCGTCGGTCTTTTCTCCAAAGATTCTAGAGATTCCTAAGATTATTTGTGATTGTGATTGCTCGTATATTATTTCTGATATATATATACACACATAGGTTCGTAGGTATATATGTATGCTAGGTAGTATAATGGTGGAGAGGATTGATATTGTTGAATGAATGGATTGATTTGAATGATGCTTAGTTCTGGGACTACTGTTACGGAGATACATGTTCTGAGGGAGTGAGCTGGATGTTTGGAATTGTCTCACTCGACATGATGGGGATCAATGAGAATGTTCGTGTAGATATGTGAATGGGCATGTTCTAACAGTTATCGTGCTTGATTCCCCCGGTGAGTTTTTTTACTGTGCTCCTCTCTTCTACTTCACAAATATTACCCCACATTGTAATCAATTCAATTGGACACAAATTATATCCACTAACCTAAAATACACTAGCTCTTCGCTTCACAATTCGCACAATCAATCTCAAAACTCTCCATCCAAAACTTTTGAAAAAGTGTTCTCTCTCCATTCCCATCCATCGACAATCGACAACCGCAAGCATGTCTGCCATCAACAAGATCGTGGCTACCAGCCCTTCCCACGCCAACCCATCTGAGCTTGAGAACAGCATCGCTACTGCTCTCTATGACCTCGAGTCCAACACCCCAGACTTGAAGGCTGCTTTGAGACCTCTTCAATTCTCTTCTGCTAAGGAGGTTAGTTAACAATTTTTCTTTTGTCCGTGTGATTAACTCGCAGATGTACTTCCGACGTGCTCTGTGTATGCTTGCTCTGCTCGCAACATTTTCGCAATCGCAAAATGGGAATGCAGCTCTTATCGACCTTCGATAATTTTACGATTGATGCCGACATTTCGAATTATCACTTTCGTATACCGTATACTAGACGACATTTCATCAATTATTAAACATTGGGTATCGATATCACTTTTTCTTCGAAAGTTTCGAAATGTAAACATACAAGGGAAAAGGGATATTCTTTGGTCAATTGGGATAACAAGATGAAATGAACTTGATGACGATACATTATACAAATTGAGAGTTGGGGATGTCGGTGTTGATGGTGGAATCGAACGGGCTGCGGACCATGTCTTGAGACTGGAGATCGCGAGCTGACTTTAATCAAATTTTAGATTGAAGTTGGCCACGGCAAGAAGGCTATTGCCATCTTTGTCCCCGTTCCTTCCCTCGTTGCTTTCCACAAGGTTCAACAACGGTATGTATTTCTATCACTCTATAATATGTTGACAATTCTCTAATGATGGAATAGTCTCACCCGTGAGCTCGAGAAGAAGTTCTCTGACCGTCACGTCTTGATCCTTGCTGGTCGTCGTATCCTTCCCCGCCCAAAGAGATCCAACAGATCCAGAACCTCTCTCACCCAAAAGCGTCCTCGTTCCAGAACTTTGACTGCTGTCCACGACGCTATCCTTACCGATATCGTCTACCCAGTTGAGATTGTCGGAAAGCGTCTCCGCACCAAGGAGGATGGAAGCAAGATCTTGAAGGTTATCCTCGATGAGAAGGAGAAGGGAGGTGTTGATCACAGACTCGATACCTACTCTGATGTTTACAAGAGATTGACTGGCCGTACCGTCACTTTCGAGTTCCCACAAGGAAGCTCCGCTGAATACTAAATTATTCATGCTTTGTTGAAATGGGTTTCTCTTTGGAGGGTTACAAAAATGGGAGGCGCAATAGTTAGGCTTTATGAATGAATATCAAAAGCTTTCTGTGTCATACTGATATACCAATTTGTTTTACAATGGAGTTCAAGGATTTTTAGAACTTTATTGTTTGATGTCGTTTGATTCAAGTGTCTTGTGATTTATACATGTGATTTGATTTGAAGTTCACCGTGATATTGCAGATGTTGTAGACATTATCAAGTACCCTCGTCAACGTTTATTAACATCACCCTACTCTCTCACTTCATTCATGGAGCCGTCACTCAAGTAAGGGATTCTACGTATCTATCTACACACATGTATCCCTTTCGCCCTTCTCTTCAACCTCTCATCCTTGATTCTCAAACCCCAGCATCCTCACAACACATATGCATACATACACACACATACTCACTCTACTCTATCCTACATATACATGCACACACACACACACACACACACACACACACACACCACAGAAATCCCATAAGCTCCAAGAGAGCTATAGAGAAGAATCAATCACAAAGATAAAGTCACCAAACCAAGTAAACTCTCGCGCTCGAGAAACATAGTCTATTGATTTCCTTTCCTTTCCTTTCCTTTCATCGCTTTCCTTTCTCCAAAGCCACGTGTGTAGATATCCCATCCCTATCCATCTGAGCTTTACCGACAAGACCAGCCATCCCCCTCAACCCCCCAGAAGAGTCAGAAAAAAAGTATTACAAAAAATCAGAGAAATTATATCAAAAAGAAAAGAAAATAAGATAAAAACGCCCCCAAAATGAGAATCCCTCATCTTCTTTTACCTATAACCCTAGTGTAACCTAATGCCCTTTGAGTAGTATATCCCAAAATCGATCCGATTTCTATGGTATCCAAACATCCCTACCCCATATCGCCTCAAAACCACCGTTGCCATCGCCGTCCATGATATCCAAAAATGCCTTCCAAAAAGACTCCATACATCGCCCGAAACGAAGAATGAACGCCCGACTACCTCCAGCCTATCACAAACATGTCGTATGACATCTCCCAAGCGTCTATACCCCCAACATAACAACTCAACGAATATAAATATCGCCTCCCTCACCATCCACCCACCTCTTCCAGGCAATCTCATACGCCTCCTCCAAATCCCTCACCCACCTCCTGGTATCAAAAAGTGCACAATCATATCGACTTTCATAGAGTAATCTCCTGAGATCTCCCAATCTCCCTCTGCCTACACCATACCCCGAAGTCGTATCATAGTGAAAGGTTCTTGCGAGTCTTATCGCGAATTCTTCGTATTGTGCTTCATCCTTTGCGATGAGTTCCGAAGCGGCCCTTTCACCTTCTTCACTTCGAGGTAATGCACCTTTGAGAATTGAGGCTGCCATGCGAGAGCACATCTTATATTTGTAGCGTGGTAAGGTGAGAAGAGGTGTACTTGACCAAAGAACATCTGCTGCTGTTGTATGCGCATTACATTCTGGAGTATCGAGGAACAAATCGCAAACTCGTGCTCGGGAAATATGCAAATGTTTGGGCGCTACATCTGTAAACCAAATTCTGGAAGCCACACCCTCTCCTGCCCATTCTCGTGCCGTGGCTTTCAAATTACTTTCACCTAAGTCAGGAAAGCGCAACAGCCAGAGAATTGCTTTTGGTACTTTATCCAATATCCTCAGCCAAGTACGGAAAGTAGTGGGTTCAATCTGAGAACAGTTAGCAGAAGCATTAAGCAAAAGAGACTGGAAGCCGTTAGACATACCTTGTAAAGTTGATTGAAATTCCCAAGAATAATAGCATCGTCAGACAAACTTGGAAAGAGTTCCTTTCTCATCTTCCATCGTGTTGTTTGTTCTTCTTCCCAGGTTGCTTGCTGATCCCTTGGCTCCGATTGAGCATGATCACAGCAGAAGAAGGTATCCCTGCAGAATATAATGTTCTCTGAATAAACCCAACGATCATCATTGATATACTGCTCATCCTCAACTTGATCCTCCAAGTCAATATTTCGTCTCCAGGGTCGTAACGTTTCATGTGGAATAGCAGTCTCATCTGCCAGAAGATAGTCACACCACTCAGCCCCTAAGGTTCCAGCAAAGCCCATGAAAGACATCTGAATAGGAGCTGGACGTGCAGCAAATACTTCATTACGAGCGCCTCGAGTGTATCCGTTGAGATTCACGAGAATGTGAATATTATCCTGAACAATTTGGTTCACTAATCGATCAGCAGACCATGAGCTGACATCGCGAAAAACAGGTGCCTCGCGCTCTATTTGTTGTCTATGAACGGAAGTATCGCTAGCAGTTGTGGCATAGCAAAAGGCTTTTGCTCGTGACGGATTGTGGAATCCAAAGACAGATTGCATCCTAAAATTTGATGAGCATGGTGGTGCAAAGGAAGGTCAGAAAAGAAACTTACAAATGTGCTAATGGATGATTGTTGAAATCAGAAGAAACATATCCAATATTGAGGTGGGGTCTTGGAGGAGACGGGGGAGGAAACACAGAGCCTTGCATCCAGGGAGATCGCAGCGTAGAGGCTGAAATTCTGAGAGCGTTTCGTTGAGAAATCTGCCGTATATCTTTCGCAGACAATGGGCAAGTGAAAGTGTGGAACGGTAACACGGTAGGTGCCGATGGTACCGACAGGCTGCTTGGAAATTGAGGCCGAGGATAAAAACTAGGAGGATATTCCCTTTTCTTGACATATCTGTCTTGATACCATCGACGAGTGGCACGTTTTGTGGCACGTTCAACCAAACGAACAATTCGAGCTCCTTCCCAGCGATGTCCAGTCCATGCGCCAAGCGCAGTCTGAATGCTTTCTCTCTTCTCCTGCGGCCATTCACCACCACAGTCAGCGGCTTCGAGTTGTCGAAGAAAATGGTTAAATGCTTGGCCCTGCAAAGTTCCGCGACCCCAAATTGATCCTTCCTTCAATTGTTTGGCGACAATATCAACAACTCGCTTCATCAGTCCTCCACCATGTTTATTCGGATTTGCTTCCGATATCATTCCATCATCGTCTACATGCCAACGATCTCGTTTACCGCCATCAAAGATAACGCCCCCCCTTCCTTTCCAGTCACAGACTGAATTCAAAGCGTTGGAAAGACCGCAAACTGCTTCCGCAAAATCGGGACTTGCTTTTACCGCTCTTTTGTAGTACACAATCGCATCGCTTGTACGTCCTTGATCTTTGACAGCATTTGCTAGATTTGCCAATGCAATGTCAAATGTTCCATCCCAATGCACTGCTTGCTCGTACATCTTAATCGCAGCTGGAAGCTGACCGATATCCTTGAGTAGACTCCCCAAGTTGGTGTAGAGGTGCGCATGTCTGGAATCCAATAGCAACCCATAATTATAGTAAGCAAGTGCTAAAGCGACACCGCTACCAGCAACGACTCCAGGTATCGTAGTATTGTTTGCGGTGTCCCGAGATGGAATTGGTCGATGAGCTGCGGGTTGTTGTACGCTTGCCAGAAGGATGCCAACATTATTAGCTGTTGATGGACTGGGTTGCAACGATAAAGATAAATAATACAATGCGAGGATGTCTCCGACACCTGTAGGCATTCTTGAAATCCGCTGTGATGTATTATTGGACATAGCATCTTGGAAGATCTTGGCTAAGGACAACAGAGAATTACTCGTAGTTGATATGGCAGCCTTTCGGGCTAATCCTTCGGGAATATATCGAAGACCAGGGAGTTCCCCGTTTCTTGCAAATACAAGTGATTTTGACTCCAACGCCTTTTCAGGGGGTAATAGCAAGGGTGCTGAGTTTGGCGTCGAGGCAGGATCGGTACGCATTCCAGGAAAACAGTCAAGGGTCAGGCTATGGATTATCCTGCGAATGAGTCCTTGAATTCCGCCAATTCCTTTCCCTGCACTTATGACAACGGCATCCTCGAAAGCTTTAGATGCTGCACTGACATCGCCGAGAGCGTACAGCATATTACCTTTAGCATGTATGAGAGCTAGCAGTCGACCATTTTCAGCTCCAGGTATTGCGAATCCACTTGAACCAAACCCAGCCTTTTCAGAACTATCTTCAAGCCTTTCACTCAAAATTGAACGGCGGTCCCTATCGTCGTAGTCAACAACTGGATCAGAAGTGGTACTCGCGAAATCGTGAAACTCTCGGTCAGTACTACTCGACGTCTCGCTGTAATGATCATGATGATCATCCGATTTAGGAATCCGTAGAGACCGCTCTACAAATTCAATGATACCAACCGCTTCCTGGCCGCGATGATCACCACATAGAAGACCGATCAGATGTTCAACAGCCTCAAAATAATTAGGACGAAGGTTGACAGATTTCCGCCAGTTGGCCTCTGCTTCATCGCGTCTCTGTAGGCATAAAAGTGTTGCAGCCAGGTTTGAAATTGCTTCCACATGCCTGAGATTAAAGTAAGCTAGGGTGACATTTCAATGGCGTTGTATAACATACCTTGGGTCAATAACGATTATCTTCTCATACCAGTCTCGCGCTCTATTGTAGTCTTCTAAACCATACGCAAGACACCCTCCTAATAACATGCCATCAATCCAAGTCCAGTGACTTTCCTCGCAAAGACTAGCAAGAAGATCCAGTGCTTCTTGAGCGTTAAATGTGGGAGATGATATGCTGTGCTGCGACAGTTGAAAAGAAGGCACGTAGTGACCTGCTCCCATCACTTGGTTCATAGACCGCGAGTATCTCCCGTCCGATGGGTCCGTGAAGCCATAAGAATTACGGTGACTGAGACTTGGGCGATGGCTTCTCAAAGGGGTACCATCTTGAGAGGGCCCTGGCGAAGAGAAAGTTGAGCTCGGCTGCCTTGGTGGTTTGGGGTATATAACACTTTTGGCATAGGGTTTAGAGCCATTAGATAGTCTATTCTGTCGATTCTCCTTTTTCGTCTGATGCAAATAAGCCAACAGATCTACATAGATAGCGTGCGCCCAGGAAAGTGTCTTTTCCTTAAATTGGGCATTTCCAGCCCTACTCAGTGGTTGGATCAAGGTACTCGTAGGATCGGAGAAAACTGCATTGCTGCTGCCACCAATTTGATACAGGTTTTGTTGCATAGAATCATATGATTGTGAGTGATCATCCATCCGTGGAAATGATAAATCTCTATGAAGTGGCGGGTTAACATTGTCGAATTCGGATTGCCGTAAAGGGCGAACCCCTCCAAAGTACTCCGATCCAAGCTTTACATGTTGGAAGTCATGACCTCCATATGTGTGGTCCCTATAAGCCGCTGGCCGGTAGGGAGTGTAACTTCCATCTGGCCAGTACGGACCGTATAGACCTCCATCGTTTGATGCAGTAGGGCCAGGTCCAGGTTGGTAAGCCGGCTGTCGCGCCGTTGGAACAGAGAACCCAGTCGGTGAGAAATAAGAAGGGATCTGGTGCATAGGTGACACATGGCCCGGGGAACTATAAAAATTGGTTTGAAGAGGGGTAAATGGTGTCCAATTCTGCGACGATAAATTATTTACTCGCTGATCAAGATTATTGAAATTATTTGGCGAATCAAAATTCCATCCAGATCCTGCCATACCATTCGACCCATCTGAGTATGCTGAACCTCCCGAAGCATCAAGTACAACGTGCTTCAAAGCCGGTGCCTTGCTAGACCACTGCACAGGAGTTCCATCATACCCCGCGGCTAGTGTCCCATTTGGAGTTTTCCGCCTCAGCATGTGCTCTCCACCAAAGTCTTGATCTGATATACTGCGACTAACCGCTAGAGGTCTTTGATATTCATTGCTATCGATTGGGTAGGGGCGATGGAGAGGGGAAAGTGTGGAGGAACTGAGATTTCTAGAATTTCGATATGGTAACGGCGCAGGTCGATCTGCTCTTCCAGTCTGAGGGGGAGGTTCGAATGGAGAGTTTCCATATCCAGGAGTCGCGCCCAGCTGCTGCGAAGGATAACGTCGGGCAATTTGAGGATTCATGTTTCATTACTTGTAAGTTTAGTATTTGGAAAAATAACAAATGGGTATATATTGCAAGAAAATTGGGTCATAAAATGAAGTAGATGGTTGATTCATGAAAACCAAGGTGTGCCAATGCCTGCACGAAGGAGGGGAATTGTTTCTCTTCTGCTCATTTCTGCTTGTCATATGCAGTAGCCCGAGGGCGTAGGTCGTCTTGACGTCGCGGCAATACCGGTTTTCTCTGTTGGAGCCTTTCCTCGAAGAATCGAAGTAGGGTAATAAGAATAGGAACAGGAATATGAATGGTAAAAATTATTGATGGGAAGCTCTAAGAGTCTTAGGGTCCTGCAAAACGGTCGAAGTGGAGCATTCCTTGGGTGCGTAGTGGGTGAAAGTGGTGCTGTGGGTGCTGTGCGTAAAATGATGCGGATGCGTTGCAAGGCTTATCGTAACTGAAAAGCTTTTGGTGTAATAAAAAAAATACAGACAGACAGAGACAAGGGACTGTAGGAAGATGAACAGTGGGGAAATGACAATTCAATAGAGAGAGGTCGGTCGTGATTCGTGAAGCGATAGGCAAAGGTCAGGGCAGAAAAAGGCAAGACAAGGCAAGGTAAGGTAAGGTAAAAGGTAGAATGAGAGCGGGATGAGGATTAATAAAGAATGGCTGATGACGAGTAGTAGTTGGGTTGTCTGATTTCCTAGTCAAAAAGAATGTTCCTTTGAGGGAAAGATCTATGATAATGAAATCATTTCTTTCTTTTGGGAGAGAGGGGGAGAAAGGGAGCGTTATGATTTGAAGATGGCAAATTGAAGACTGAAGACTGAAACTTGAGAGGGAAGATTAAAGTTGTAAGAAGTAAGTTTCGGTTCGGTTGATGATACAAGACAAGGTAGTTGGGTAGGTGTAGGTTAGGTTAGGTAGTAAGTAGATACGGTAGTAGATAGTAGATAGTGTAGATAGTGTAGATAGCTGGAGATGTTAAGTTTGAATTGAGGCTTGGATTAATAAAATGGTAAAAGGCGTCGGTGTCGGTGTCGGTGTCGGTGTCGGTGTACGTGTAGATGTAGATGTAGATGTAGATGAAGAATTAATTGTAACAGAGAAATGGAGGGAGAGAGAGAGAGAGAGAGGGAGCAACGATAGAGGGAGGCAATAAAGAGAGAGGATAGAGATAGATTACCATACAAATAAAATAGATAGATAGACGTAGAGTGTGCTTTGTATACATACAACTTGTAGCCTATCCTATGTGGGTAAGTACATAATACATATATGTATGAATTAAATTATCTCCTCGATCGGTACAGATGTAGACAGACCTACCTAGTATCTAGATAATATCCAGATAATTAAACCTTGATTGTTGATTTCTCAAATACTTCTTTTGGTCATAAAACGTACAAGATGTAGGGTACTATGTCACTACTACCTACATATTACCATATCACCATATCATATATCCATCCCCATTACACGGATAATCAAAAAAAAACCCCCGACAGGCATTCAAATCGTATTAAATTCATTAACTCGGATCCAATCCTGCAGGAAATGGGAAAAGAAGGCAAAGCACAGATAAAGAACAAGGTTTAGTTTCAAGGAATGCATCCAATCATTCTCAAGAGAACAAGGCCATGATGGCTGAAGCGCCTCTCAGCTTCTTTGGCATACCACCAAGTTCACTACGAGAAAACCCTTCATGTCTTTCTGCGTGCGTCAGCAGGAGTCAGCGTAACATACATACGAACGAATCTTCATCCAACGTCGAAATATCTAGGTAGCGACATAGAGTTCCATTCGAGAAATGTGAGAGTGAAACAAAAACATTGAAATGAAAGCTTTTATACCAAACTCCAAAAGGTGGATTTGATTTTAAGGTTACTCTATGAATTCTAATTCTCTCAAGTGCTTGCATCTACTGTTTATACCACAATTTCAATAAAATAAAATTGCATCTACTCGGTCAAAATCAAAATAATGGCACCTCGGCGCCATAGACTGCCATTCCACCCCTCCACCCATCATCGACCATTTTATGCACTACCCCTGTTGTGATCATCGCTGCGCAAACCAATGGGATGATGTTATAGCCCAATTGGCACCGGTACGCCGAAGCGTATAACTACTATCTGTCAAGATGAGTGAGTGAGTATGCAGTCACAAACATGAGGCGAACTTTCGAATAGCCGGTCAAATCAATTCATATGTGAATCAAGAATTCATAAACCATTACAACCATTTCGGAAGAAGGATATGCTGTGGTGACTAACCGGACAATTGCTTTCTTGGTTTCGAAAGCTTGCTGAAACCACGAATCGAACCACCCAATAAAGGAGGGAATTTTCGACTCGAAGCCTTGACAAGTATTGCCGGTATCGTCTTTAGGGGGTATGAAGATGATTTGCTGGGGCGTTTGACAAATACTGCTGGCTAGTGGCAGTGTCGACGCATCCCTTCGAGGATATATATTCTCGACTACTTTCTTGGCATCCTCTTGGGCATTCTCATATATTGGGACATTCACATCAATTCACGCGTAAGTTAACTGTAAATCGAGGAATCACCATGGATGAGATAGCAGATTGGTTTGTTGAATCATTGACATTGCTCCCCCAGCCTATTGTGAAGTATGTAGCCCGTGAAACATTGCGATTAATGAAGTAAATTTTGATTTATTCCTCAGGGACTAATTTATTGGGTTAGCAAGAGAATGGAAAAAGAATTACTCTGAAAGAATACTTACTCTCGATCTCTCCAGACTCGATATCGTCGCTGACATCCTTTGGACTTCTTCCATCAACTTGGCAACCAACGGAGTAAGCAGTACCCAAAATTTCCTTGACGGTACCCTTCAACTCCTTTGCGAGAGACTTGAATCTCATGGTTCTAGCGATCTCGATAACCTCATCAAGAGCAATTGACTTGCTGTGCTTGATGTTCTTCTCCTTCTTGCGGTCACGGGGAGGCTCCTTAAGGGCCTTGATGACAAGGGAAGAGGCGGATGGGACAACGGAAACAGCGGCTTGACGGTTTTGGATGGTGAGTCTGACGGTGACTCTCAATCCTTTCTGCACAACAAATATTCATCAGTTCTCGCTCTCGATTGCTGTTCGTTTCTGCGGATTCTGCATACCCAGTCTCCAGTGGCCTTTGCAATATCTTCTCCGACCTTCTTTGGTGACAAACCAAGAGGACCGATCTTGGGAGCCAATGCTGAGGAAGCACCGACTTCACCACCAGTGGCTCTCAGGTGGCTGTTAAATTATCGTTAGCATGGGCTCGGTAGTGAGATGACATATCGAGGTTCTCAATTCGCATGTTGATGGTGGTGAGGAATTCTGATGTATTTTTTCCGTGTAGGTAACGTACATGATCTTAATCTCATTGGGGTCCAACTTTGGAGCTAAATTGAATTTGTTAGTCGCAATAGATTATCGTATCGATTATATGTATTGGGCTCTTACGCATGGTGACTATGGGGTGGAATCGGTTTGGTGGGAATGGTGTCGACGATTGATTCTGTTGAGATCAAAATTCGCAATCTGTAGAAATTCTTCAAATTGGTATGTGTGGAAAACTTTCGGTTAACTAAGCTAGTCCGGTTTAAGGCAAGGTTGACAGTATCGATCCAGATGTATATATGCCTAGCATATAAGGTCACAAGAATACAAGGGTACACCAACTACAAACCGCGGGGTTCATGGCTAGGTGTAAGGCTGAGTATTCAGATATGTTATGCTTGAGATACTTATTAATTACCAGAAGATAAATGTTACGATAATGTTAATAACAAACAATCACCTCAATCAGAAATCACAACTGAACCATTATTTAGATGATCTAATAGCTATTATTGTATACCTAATCAACATCGCAATCAAGTCAACGAAATTCTTGAATCAAATCTCATCGCGAAACTGCGCCACCAACGCTCCAAATGCCCCCCAGTTCTTTTTGGTAGAAATACTCGTCATCAATTCGTTCCGCTTACAGCCAACCTGTGAAAGAAAAAGGATGGGTTAGTTTTGTGCACTTAGGATACAGATTAGAGTGGAATAACTTACTTCATGAGATGATCCATGAAAGTTTGTAAAGAGACGTCATCAGTAAAGATCGTTTGTGCTGTTTGAGCTCCCACTCCGCCGTATGCACCCGTTGTATGTGTAGTAGATGGATTCAGTTTTGATAACAAGAAACGCGCTTGAGAACCACCGGCATCACAAACGATGAAACGTGGCAAAGGAAATCGGTCGGTAATCAAATCCTACTTGAGTCAGTATACTGTGTATCCAAATTCATGTTACTTGTAGCACTTACTCTGGCATCCTCTTTTGGTTGTTCTAGAAGTGATGCAAAATTCTCGTATCCTTCTTGATCCTGATAGCCTGCTTTCCTCCATTCTGCAACGGTCTCTCCGTGGAATATTAGGATGTGGAAGAAAGTATCCAAAAGAAGAATATGAGTTGGTTGGATGGATGTAGAATCAAGTAGTACAGGTTGACTACCATCTTGGTCGAATGTGTACGAGTCCAAAGTGGGCTGTATCATGATTAAGGAATTGCTGACGTCCTCATGGTTAAGTACATGTCTATAGAATGCAGTCTCATCAGGTGAGTTGTTGAACACTTGCAAGAACTGACTTCTCCTAAGATGAAACATAAATTGAGGGTAAAGTGTAAAGTTCTTCTCAAGTCTGAAAGACGATGGATCATCCTTTCGATAATCGGCGAATCGCGAGCACAGACGGATGAGCATTCTATCCACCCATCGTAAAACGTCTGGTCCATCGTCAACTTCGGCTTTGAATACAGCAATTCTGGACATCAAAACGGCAGCAGCTTCTTGATCGAAAGACTGAGCAATCGCAGGATCTCCAGCTGGTCCACTCAAGTTGCGAGAGATTGTTGTCACGCGGAGGTGAAATTGGCCTGAGGAATGCTGATAGTATGTAAGGAATTGCATCATTCCCTTTGCCTGGGCTTGGTGTTGAGCAGGACCAGCTTGACCAGCAATTTCGAAGTATATTCCGTAGCTAGAATTGGGATCAATACCGCACATCTTCCATGAACAAGTATTGCCAATACCGCATTCTGTTTCTCCTACAGAAGTCGATTTCTTGTTCAATGAGACCGCATGACCGATCAAACCAGTTACCTTCAATTCTTTGGTAGTCAAAACTTCTAAAGAAGCATTGAAACCCATCAGCAGATTATCATCGCCATCCTTCTCGAATACACGGACGAAGGATTGCTTGAACATAGACGATGTGAAACTATCTGTCAAGATCATATGACCACCAGTCGAGTTTGAGAGGCCCTTCATTTCAAGGAGACCGACTTGGTCTAGACATCCAGCAAATATGTCTATTATGTGACCGTTGTGTGCTGTTCTCTTGGCCAGGTTGTCGTAGAACTGTATTCGTTAAAACTGACCATGAGAATGAATCGGGAAACATACCTTGAGAGCCTTCTTATAATATTTGATATTATCTCTGTCGATATCATGATGAGATCTGATTGGCTCCCTCAGTTCAGGACCAACCACTAAACCTGGACCTTCGGTAGCAGGTCCTCCTGCGAATAGCATAATACGGCCACCAGCATTCTGGAACGAAGTCTCTAACAATCCAACTGCTACGCTCAAAGCCACACCGGTACATCTTAGGTTTCTTCTGTCATTTGCGACGGGCCATGGATCCTTTTGTAATTGCTCGAGAGCTTTCGTGAGCTGAAATTCGCATTGTTGAACAGGTAGCAGGAATCGAGCGGCGGGTCCCATTGGCGGCATTGGTTTACCAGGTTGCGGTTGTTGCATTCCAGGCCTCAATCCAGCTGCCGAAAGTCCAAGCATCTCTTGAATTTGCTTGGCAGTGTAGTCCTTGCTACCTCTAAACACATATGATTTTGGACATTCTGTGTAGCCAATTTCGTGTACTTGCGCCTAGATTCAGAGGGTTAATATGGAGCTGCGAAGTTGGGGATGCGAAAATCTTCATACCATGGTTCCAAATGTAACTAAGCCAACCAATGCGTTTTCAGGCAAAAGACTCAAGCTCATCACAAGAGATTCCTTGAGCGCAGATAGACTATCCTCCTCTTGACAAGTGTCCACGACATATAGGAAAATGGGAGGACTTGGAGCTGGCCGTGAAAGTCTGTACTCTATCGTGGTATTTGCAGGATGAAGTTCGGGGGGGATTTGGTTGGGATTTATATCTTTATAATGAGGTGGGAGAGGATTTCGAGATAAGCAGAATGGGCAGATCCAAAGACGTGCTCTGACATCCACTTGACTATTGACAATGAGCTCAATTCGGAATTGTACTTTCAGCGCCAGACTTACCAGAAAGGGTTCAGCACTGATCTACATGGCTGCTTGCAGATAACTGGCTCAAATTGTAAGAGTGGTGTATCCGGCTTCTCTTTAAGAGGTGTATAGAGTGCGCCGATAGGGACAACAAGCCTCGAGGCTTCCTATAATATATAAGCTCTTATACCCCGCGCAGTAGAATCTTTTGACGAACCATGCGAGAGCTTGGGAAAACATTCCAACTGAGTCGAACTCCATCACGATCCTCCACTTCACTCCATTGCTCCTTCAAAGCTTCAATATCCATCGTGCGCAACCCTTGAAGCTGGATATTATGTATTCGATAATCGACTGGTAGGAATGTGGGACGAACGAGAGCGGTCTGGGACAAAGTGGCAAATACCCAGATGCTATGCGATTCCCAATCAGTAGAAAATCAGGAAGTAAAACGAATCGAAAGATTCTGCTTTTGTTGCAGGAGAATATGTTTTGAGGTTTTGTTGTACGTATCGAGGCCTCGTGGGAGATAATGCCAGGTAGTTGTTGACTTACCTAATCACGCTCTCACGGTCCACTAGTGGGTGTACGGACTCACGGGACAGTATAAAAATGAACTTGTAAATATCTTTTGATATATTGAATCATTTATTTTAAAATTTGTTATATTTCTTAAATAAAGATAAAATAATCAAAACACAAATTTTGATATCAAACAACTGAAGAATGGATTTATTGAAAATATTGAAAATTGGGAAGTGTCCCGTCAGTCCATGCACCCACTGGTGGTCCTTTCACAGGAAATAGCCGAATGACAGGTAGCCTCGCCGAGAATGTATCAGACAAATATTATCCATCACTAACTGTAAAAAATCCTATGAAATGACATTGCACATACATGCATTTTCACTCTCATTTTGATAATCCTAGATTCAAATGATTTTGGGAAGATTTGAATCTCCTTATGGATAACATTTTGAGTCACATCTTGGTTCTGAAAAGCAAAGTATAACATTTCATTTCTATTCTCATGCTTGAAGAAACTTGTATAGGCAGGAAGGAGTGTGCCAAAAACAATGTTCATTATCCTATGTACCATCAAAAAAGGTAGATATTGTAAAGATTCGTATTTGTGTGAACAACGAGCGTGCATTATATTAAATTCCTAGGTAGATTACAGCAAACAGGTGCAGTTTTATTCGACACATGTAGCTAAGATGGGTGAAGGATTCGGGTTTAATTCAGGTATTATAATTATCAGTTACAGTATTGAGTTTTGCAAATGAGCCGAGCTATTCTAGGTAGACAAATCTCTAAAATTAATACAAGCATCTTGCCTATACATCCCTCAAGCTTTAGATCAAACTCAGCGTTACATGTTCAATTCTGTAAAGCCAGATGCACCTATGTCGAGCCACATATTAATCCTTCTTTCCGCCAATTGGAAGGCCTTCTGTGAGACCTTCAAGACTTGAGAGGCCTGGAAGATCTTCCGAGGAACCTGAGAGGCCTTCGAGACCTTCCGAGAAACCTTCTGAAAGATCTGAGAACTCTGAGAAATCCGGCAAGTCGAAACGCTTTTCAAGATCTCCATATTCCTCATTATCCAATCCAGATTCAAGAGATCTTCTGGCCTTAGATTTGCTGGCAAGTTCCTTCTTTACAATCTCGAACTGCGCATCTACTTCACTCCCGAGCGCTTTGATCTTCGGTTGGTGGGGGGTTGTGACCTTTTTCTGGCAAGTATTGTACAAACCGTCTACATTCTTTTGCAGTTTCTCAATTTCCGTCGCAAAGTAAGTTGCATATCGGGTGTTCTGAATCATACTTTTCTATTTAAATTTGTCAGCACTGCATCCTAGTATCCATCATAATGCACTGTCCAACAGAGCTGTCGCAGTGAAAAAAAAAGAGAGAGTAAATGACAAAAGTGTTCAGGGCAACTTACACGTTCTTTAAGAGCTTTTGATATTTCTAAGAATTCGGGAGTGAGTTGATGCAAAGCAGCTTCAACGTTTGCACTTTCACCCTCACTCATAGGTTCCGATTGGCTCGCAGCCTTTTCGGCCGACTGAACCGAGCTGTAGCAAGTTTTGAATTGCCTATAGAGTTTGATAGATTCGAAGACTCCACCCTTGTAGTTTTGACACATCTCTGTGACTTTGTGACCCTCGTTAACAACATTTTTAATCTTTTGACTAACATATTGAGTTCTAGATTCAAGGGAGACAGAGACATCCCGCTGGTTGATTGAGATGACATTTGAGCTTGGGATAAGACTCGCAAGTGCAAGGGGTGCCAATAGCAGAGCGGAAATATATGAAAGACGCATCTTGTTTGTTATGGGGCTGAGTTGTAGATGGAGAATTGGGGTGTGATGGAAAAGTGACCAAGAAAAGTACTTACAGGAGAATCAGTCATGGGTATAAATACGTATAGAAACAGCCAAGCTGCTTAGCTGGGCATGGCATATATGATGAGATTCTGTCCATGATCTAGCATCCAGATGTCATACGGGTACATATTCCAAGGGCACTGGCCGCAGCTAGTACATGTTTCCATACGCATCTAGATTCCAACGGATCGAGAAGCTAATGATCTAGCTTTCAAGAACCGGACAGAAAGAGCGAGTCTGCCTCATAGAATATGAATTGCGCAAATTTGAAGTTTATTAGAAAGAGAGATAAAGTAGGTATCGTTAGTTTTGTCCAAATCTTGTTGATGTTAATGATATTGACGTCCGAGTAAGTAAACAAAGTCCCCACATGCCAAGAGACGCAACCACACTATCATTCGAAATCAACCGATGACCTAGGATGTTGCAAACTCAAGCGTACGGATCTTGTCGGTAGTCACTATTAGGGCATCTTTAGGATGGAACGTTTTTCAAGAACAGGCACTAAGATCATCTCAAGTCCTATGTTGATCGACAACCTGGCATTATAGTTGACACTAAATTCCTCACAGAAGAATGATGCGTCATACAATTTTGGATCTACCAGAAGATATGTGGGTAACAGTTTTCCCTCACTGATCGGTTACCATGCATCCCAAAATACAACTTCGCATTCAAGACACTAATGATTGAAATCAATTTCCCGTACCGCTCACAAAATTCACAAATGCCTTCTGACCCTCTTCGATGATCATTGCTGGGTCCTGGAATTGTTTCACGCCCGCAAAGTTTGGAGCTTGAGCATTCACCGGTAGAATATGGGTGACATTTGATACTGATGGGGTCGCATTTGAATCATAAGTCTCAAATGAAGGGAAAGCCGACACTCCAGTGCCTCGAGGCAAAGATGCTGTTCCTGTCGAAGATGCAACATTGACACCATTGATGGTCATTCGTTGATCCTGCTGAACCATAACAAATTGTGTATCCTGGGCTTGGTTATTTGCTTGGATTTGATGTGTCATATATCGAACATTTTTGTTTGATCTATCCCGAGCATCGACAATTTGTGTGACAACAATGATGATAATGTTCTGGGGGTCATGTTAATTTCTGTAATTTTGGCTTCCGCTTGAAAGGAAGAAAATACCTGTTGCGCGTTCAAGTTCTTGAAGTGATTTCTCCTAATGTTGTCCCTAGCGATTTGTGTTCGATCGATGATGATAAGTCGCTCTTGAACAAGCTTGGTAAGTTGAATCTCGCGATTTCGTGAGATTTCCGTCAACTGCTCTTCTTCTGTCTTTGTGATAATGATCACATTGTTTGAATTCGCCTTCGGTTGCTGTCTCGAGTCCCTAGGAGCATAGACCAATCCACTTGCAATATTCTTATCAGTCTCCGGGACTGGGTGAGGATATGGGCCTGAGTTATGTTATTAAATGGGAATCATGCCATCAGCGTATTCAAAAGTCTCCAGTGTTGATCAAACAATTGAACATCGTTTTATTCCTGAGTTCAATCAAAAGATTCATCTCCTCCAAAATGATTAGACCGCTTCAAATGTCCACCTTATTTTAAACATTGATCTTCTTGCAGATGTTGACTCGCTTCCAAACATTGACAAGCCAAATATGATCATCTTGTCCGGAGTACTGGATAACCTAGATGAAAGCATAGACTGGTACTCACTTGCGATGGTTAAGGCAGCTAGGCTCAAGATCAACGATGTCACCTGAGTGAAACGCATGATTTGTATTATAAAGAAAGAATGTGATTAAAGATTGATATTACTTAAAAGGTATGGCAGCCGCTGGGGCGCTCAACGAAGGAATGATAAACGTACGTGGGAGGAGAATGAGCACTGGTGAATGAGCGACAAAGTTTGCGATGTGTACAGGACTTGCTGTCATGGTGGGAGAGTCAGCGACTATTATACTACAATTCTCCCTTTCGTGATAAACAACATTCAGAGCGGAACAGCATATCCCCAGCACTTTGCCAGACTGAATCGGATACGTCGAGGCTTATTGCACTCCTTGGGACGTCGGACTTCTTTGATAGTCTTGATGTGATCAAAAATGCCTTGACCAAATTTTGTGATACTCATCGAACGGATGTGAATACATCCGGAAGGCTCCCAGTGAGCGAAGACAGAGCCAAGAGCATTTGACAGCCAAACATGAGATGATAGAAGCGTTCATCTCAAGAATTTTTTGGGACATGATTGGATCAATCGACAAAAATCCCGTGAGTATCGACGTCTTGATGTAGTCAAATTAACAAGGGATGCTTGGACCCCCTGGTCGTTGTGAGATCAGACAAAACGATGCTTGTTTGATCACAGTATAAATGTAAGATATAATTTTATAAGCATAAAAAGTGCTATGCATAATGCAATATGATAAGAAATTTAAGTTTGGGATTGTGAGGGTATATTCCAAATAGATTAGAAGAAGAATAAATGCGCTTTCAGCAAGTCATTTAGAAATGTACAGGCACAACTCATGAACGTAACCTATTGTACTGGCCAGTGGAATATCAAAGATAGAGAACACTTGCTCGATCATGATCTTACAACAACATATTGAGAGGACTACTCACCAGGAAATACCCACCTGTATTTGTGAATGATGGCCGTTGGAACCTGCTTGATATAATGCTATGAAGCACCCCCGAATTCAGGAATACCACAGATTGTATTTCTTCAACAGTGAAGATGAACGATTGCGTCGCAACTTGACCTGACAAGTAATTAAGAGAGACATAAACGGAGAGCGATTCGTAGACTCTCGAGAATCTCGTCAGTCCAAAATCACCCGCCTTGTGTAGAGAATTCCACCAAGCTTTGTCTTTCTAATTCTTCAACTCACTGTAGTCTCATTTCCTTTCAAATGTATGATAGCAAATATTACTTCAAAAAATCTAGGTTCCCTGGCAGCTTTCGTCGATGAGAGGGAAAAGGGTGAAAGCTGGCAATAGCTGCAGAAGATTTGTCAAAAATCAGTTCCTGGCAAGGTGCGATGAGCTCCCGGTGAGCCTTTTTGTGAAAAGCATAATGTTCCAACTCGAACACAATTCTATTCACAACTGGACGGTGGAAAGACAGATGTATTCGAAAGTCATCCAAAATCGACTTGACACAAGTATAACATACATTACCAGCCTTTGATGATAGTTTTTTTTATCAATCTCCCTTATCAACAACCAAAGTTTTTGCCTCCTCCAATAACATGCCATCAATAGTCCTAAAATGCTCTCGTGCATCAGGCCTAGCACACACACGTGATAAGTTCTAGGAGCTTTGACCTTTTCGCCTAAAAAAAAATCCCAAAATTTCACCTCCAGAATTTTTATTGCATCCAATTGACCCGTCGCCCAAGAATCTCGAATCGTCCGACAAGTATTTTTTCGGCCTCAATTACACTTTTTTCTGCACTTTCAATCCCTAAACTTTAAAGCAGAAATGGCATACACACCAAGAGGAGGTGCTCGTGGCGGCGACCGTGGAGGACGTGGAGGTTTCGGCGGGGGAAGAGGTGGTGATCGTGGTGGTCGCGGAGGCTTTGGAGGAAGAGGTGGTGGAAGAGGTTCGTATTTTTATATTTCCAATGCGATTTGAATCTTAATGGCTCAATGCGCATGCGCCAATGTTTTAGTTGAATCCCGCTGACTTTGTAAAAAGGTGGTGGAGACCGTGGAGGACGTGGAGGCGGACGTGGTGGTGGAAGAGGAGCTCCCCGTGGAGGACGTGGTGCTCCAAGAGGCCGTGGAGGTGCTGGTGCCAGAGGAGGTGCCAAGACCATTGTCGTAAGTATCTGCAGTTGAATTGAACTTCAATTGAGTTCTAACAATTTTGTTCAGGAGCCCCATCGTCATGAGGGAATTTTCGTCGCTCGTGGCAAGGAAGATATGTTGGTCACCAAGAACCTTAGCCCAGGTGAATCTGTATACGGCGAGAAGCGCATCAGTGTCGAGGGCGCCGGCCCAGCCAACGAAGATGGTACTCCAAGCACCACTAAGACCGAATACCGTGTCTGGAATCCTTTCAGAAGTAAGATTGCAGCAGGTGTTCTCGGTGGTATGGATGAGATTTTCATCAAGCCCGGTGCTAAGGTTCTTTACCTTGGTTCCGCTTCTGGAACTTCAGTTTCCCACGTTGCCGATATCGTTGGACCCACAGGAACTGTTTTCGCCGTCGAATTCTCCCACAGATCTGGCCGTGACCTTATCAACATGGCTACCCACCGCACAAACGTCATCCCAATCATTGAGGACGCTCGTCACCCACTTAAGTACAGAATGTTGGTCTCTATGGTCGATGTTATCTTCGCCGATGTTGCACAACCTGATCAAGCCCGTATTGTTGGATTGAACGCACATTTGTTCTTGAAGGTTGGTGGTGGTATTTTAGTTTCCATCAAGGCATCTTGTATCGACTCCACAGCCGCACCAGAAGCTGTTTTCGCTAGAGAAGTACAAAAATTGAGAGAGGAGAGAATTAAGCCTTTGGAGCAATTGACTCTAGGTAAGCTTTTCCCCATGTCAACCAACTTGTTTTCCAACAACTGACCATGATCTACTACAGAACCTTTCGAGAGAGATCATTGTATGGTTTCTGGACGTTACGTCCGATCCTTGTAAACCCCATCTATTTCCTCATCTCTTTACCACCATACTACCCGCGCATCAAGTCGCCCTTCAGCATAAACTCAATTGAAGTTTATTTCTTCGAAGAAATTCGAATGACTCTGAATACACGCTTCTTTGGCATGCCTCATCACAAATTACTACGGATTCTCTCATGTTAGGTTATGGAAGGTTGTCGTTTTTCTCGTTTTAGTACTTTTTTCTATTAGGTGTACATTCAGGTCCTGGCGTACAGGTCTTCATTATTCATCGCATTACTCAGTAGCTTGTTAGAGAATGAGAATGAGAGGAGAAAATAAGAAAGTAAAAATTGTCCAAGAATTTTAGTCCAGTTTATGAGTTCAATTGATATCATGTTTGAATCTATAGTGTGGTATCGTATTTCTTCTAATTCTATTTTGTTCGCTAGATCAGAATGGAATGGCAATTGGGTATAAATTTCCATCTCTCAAAAACCACTGGGCTTCCAACTCCTCGTTGCTCACTTCATATCCACGCGCTGGCTCACACTCTTTTCCAAGGTATCATATACCCTATACCAGTAGTACCCGCAGTATTCGGACTCGGTCGTTGGCCAGGATTTTAAAGGATTGCGGGCATCGTGCCCATTTTTGCTAAACCCAACGACGAAGCTTTAATGCCTAGAACTTCCTGTCACTTTGGCGTCGAGGTACTTGATACTAGACTGATATTCTCAAGCGCGAAGTCTGCTTACCCGCTAACTCTCACTCTCAATTTTTCATTTACCGATCCTTCCCACGCCCACCACACACCAATAAGCCAGCTCCCTTTTTTCCCTTCCATCCCTATCCCCCAGTCCCCCCAATTTCCCAGCCCCATCTCCATCACCAGCCGCATCCGCCTCCCATTCCACTCTCACGAAAACCGCGATTTCGCACACGTCGGCGTCTTCTTCCACTCTTTCCTTTTGCACTTCTTCTTCTAATCTCCTCTGTTGCTCTAGTCCGGGTAATTTCGCCTTAAGTTTTCCAGGTGTGACTTCGACGACTACGCTTGTCCAATTGCGACCTTTATCCCAGGGTTTTCCATGCGCTTCGTTACTGAGATCAATGCTCGCCATGCTGCCGTGGGTAGCGGTTGAATGTTTCCGATCATGAGCGGAGGACGAGGAATCTTGTAGCGCTTCGTCCCACATATCTGTGTTGGCGCCGACTTCAAATTGGGGACAAAGAAGGATGACTTTGGAGGCGTGCCGGTCAGTCGTGAGACCTTTTGTTGCGAGAGATATTTTAACGGGTTCGAACAGGGGGTTTTTGAAAGTTAGGAGGAACTGAGTTGGCCTGAGTGGGGTGAGGGTTATTTGGGCGGGAGTCGGACTGGGAACGGGTTGAAGGGGGGAGAGGCTGATAGATGGTATGTAGGAGAGAGCGACGAGGCGAATGCGGAAACGTGTGGTTGGGACTTTGGATTCAGGTTTGGACAGAATATGACGACAGGTACGGCAACGTTTGGAACGTTTGGTGCGGAGGAGGCTAGGGATTGGGCGAAGAGAGCCGAGGAATCGGGTTGAAGGTGATGTCTGATTTATTCTTTGCTCGGTTGCAATTGTACCTTCCCAGCCGTCTTTGAGAAGTTGTGAAACGGCCAAAGACTCGGCTTCGGGATCGTAGACCTGAAGTCCTTCGGTTGAATCACACGCTTCTCGCATGCTTGCATTTTTAGATTTCGCTTTTCGGTCGCCAAAACTTCCACCTGTGTAAAGACCCATTATTCGAGTTAATGCTCCGGGGGATCCATATCCATAATCATTGGAAAATCCTAGCGCACTGCTTGGATTTGAATCTGCCAATTGGCCCTGGTAAAATGATTTTAGGTTCGCATATTGACTTTCTATATCGAGTTTCTCGTTTGGGTCTACATGTTTTTCTATGACCTCGTCTGCCTCTTCCAAGATCGTTTCTGTAGCCAAAGATGACCGCCTTTCATCTCTATCTCGACGGCGTTCTTTTGCGCTTATTAGTGGATCACCACCATTCTTTATCTTGGATAACTGTGAGTATACGGAGTTTGGCTTCTCGAATCGTATGCCAATTTCGGTCGAGCTCCACATACAGTATGCGCAGTGAAGAATATAGGGTGCTATCGGAGATGACGAAACATTGGGTACTTCTGGAATTGGCGCCTCATTTACTGAAAGAGGTGATATACATATCGGGCATTGGAAACAAGATCTTGTGCATCTAAGTGATTGGTAGTAGCACATTAGGATCTAGATCTTTCTCTCAGGGAGTTGACACCGAAACAATAAATCGTAAGGCCATATTTACTAACCTGTTACCTTCACTCTTCACTGTACTACTCGGTACCTCGAATAAACAGCTCGGGCAGTACCAAGTCACTATCTCGTCTAATACACATCTCGAGCATCGAATTTGGTGACAATCCTCACAGTATAGAAGATGTTCCAGTGGATATAAGCTATAGTTCGCGCGTGGAGCTCTTGGATCAAACGTGCGTTCTTCTTCGTGAGTTGGGGAATCCGGAGGTGTAGAAGAATTTGCAGGAATGGATGTATCAGAGCAAGGACATTGAAAATAAGTATATGGCTTAAACGTCGACATGATTGAGTCTCAGTAATGGGATTTACAAGTATCAATAGGTGGGATTTTTGGAGAGGGGATGAATAATATTCGACAGGGGTGCGCGGAATAACAGTTAGTCCGAATAAAGCTTATTTTTGAGCTAAGAACCAATCAAGGAAAGCTTCGGTACACCAGCGCGACTACCAACTTTCTGCAGGTTGAGAAATAATCGTACTATAATAATGAAACAGGTTCTCTTATAATTTCATTGCCGCCATATCATTGTTTAATAATAATACCAGTAGACTCTTCTGTCTTATTCTGACTAGGTACTTGAATCTACCCACAAAAATGTTGTTACCATCACACTTCATCACATACATTCTCACGTGATTATGAAACTTTCTGCTGTCCGTACCTGCTTTTAGCGTTCGTAATACATGGCTAGTATCTAATAATAATCTTCTTCAAGCGGGCGGCTGCTCTAGGCCCCATCTCCATTTTTGGTGGGCATTAATGAATGTTGGTCCATCCTTTCCTTTCCTTTCCTTTCCTGCCATTCCAATTTGTTTGTTTCTATCGAATCATCCGAGTTATATCCTTATCTTGAGCAGAGTTTATCCAGAACCTAACTCTGGAATGCCTTGATGAACCTACCTAGGTCGGGCGAAGAAGAAAAAGCAAATATCATCTCAAACGACACCTGCTGGGGATTTCTCTTGATTTTATTCAGCTTGTGTATCGAAATGCATCAATCCCACCTCAACTCCTCATCCCACGGACGATAATAAAGGTTACTATGTCCTTGCACCGCCACTAATAAGGTTCTCGTCAACAAATCAAGCTCCAGCCATACAGTTCAAGATCCAAAGCGAAATAAACAATAACACAACCGTGCGGGAAAACGCAACTAATGATAAACAAACTTTGGTCCCATAATGCAAACAATATCATTGTGAGATTAGGACAGAAAATCATTTGATTTTGATATTACCACTGTTCTCAACCTCAGAGAGAATCTTGAATCTACGTCAATTGGGCAATTGACAATTGACAATTGACAGTTGACATCGAATAGCGATATTTCATCTTCGTCTTATCACTCGGGTTGCCCTATCAACTGACAGCACATTTCAGCGCCCAATTGCCTGGGAAGTTCTCACAAAGTCACATTCTGCCATTCCTCGTGGGTCAATGAACATTGGCGCAAATCAATAATTTTACAGCGGCCTTCATGTACGCCAGCAAAAGGACTTGTTTCGATGTTTTGCTATAATATACGACTACCATTTGAGTCGCCGCATGTTAGAGTTAGGAATTGGTCTTAATCAAGGTGCGCATCTAACGTTTTTTTCGAAGTTGAATATTGTTTACAAACCCAACTTTGCGCAACATATTACGCTATCTATGCTACGAAGAGCTACTGACGCTATGGAAATTATCAGACCATGCCTTCCCCCGAACCTGAAAAAGATGAGACAGCTCCGGCCCAACCCAAGTCTCCAGCTGCTCCGCAGAAGACATCACCCGCCAGGAGCACTCCCAATGGTACAGCTATACGAAAGCCGGGTGTCAAGCCGCGGACTCCTGCCAATGCGCCCACACACAAGCGACCACCATCCAAGAAATCGGAGCCGACATTGCTTACTGATTTTCTGCTGGGCAGACCATCAGCAAGTCGCCAAAGACGAAGAAGTCTTGACGCAGTCAAAGCGGAGATGCGGGAGAGCACTGTGAATAGAATTCAAAAGCCAGGAGGAGTACACGATCGGGTTAAGCAATGGCAAAAAGCTAGTGCAGCAGCTGCCATTGAAGAAGACGACGATCCAGAGTCGGAACTGGATGAGATAATAGTGGAGGTGGAGGAAGAGAGTGTAGTTGGGCCCAGTGTTGTCACCGAGGATAATAGGCTTCATGTCAAAAATCAAAATACTCGACCTGGACGGCGGAAAAATAGAGACCCTGAAGATTGGGCCGCAGAAGTGAGGAGCAAAAGTGCGCCTCGAAAAAGAGTTATAAGCGATGATCATTGGGTGATGAATAAGACTAAGGCCTCTCCAAAGAAGAAGGATGTCAAGGTCACAATGCGAGCCATACCTAAAGACTTTCTCCAACAGACGGCTGCTAATCCCAAGTTGGAAAGTAAAATCGCTGATTGGGTCAAGCGTACGGAGGCTGAGGCGGGAGGACATGGAGCGGCCCAATCTACTTCACGAGCAAGCAAGACCCCACAGCAAAACGCCCGTGGGGAAAACAAGGGCAAAATGAGGGCCAAGTCTTTAGGAGAAATTATAGTTGAAATAGAGGAGGAGGAGGAGGAACTGACCCGGAAACCCTCAAAAAACAGAATGAAAGTTGAGTCAAGGAGTACCCCAAGCTCGCGAAAGAATTCGAACAATGGTTCCAAGGAAAGCCTTGTTAGTTCGTCGAAAGGAAAACACACCCCTAAATCGGAACCATCTCGAACTCCAGCGAATGATGGCATTCGAGTCAAGGCATGCGGACCGAACGGTCGGTGGGAAGATGGCATCAGGGTAAAGCCTGTTCAAGCGAGATGGAGGGCTCCCGAGGCTAAGAAACAGAGTTCCGGAGGCAACCCTTTTCTCGATGGCATCAGCCTGAAACCGACACCTGTTCATAAGGACGGCAAGCAAACACCTCTGAGACCAGAGACCTCGGATGAGCATTCTCATAAGCGTAAGTCGTCAGAGAAGCATATGAAGCCACTGAAGGAGACTGAAAGGAAAGATATGAAAGATCACTCCGATAACGACTTGGACGACACAAATGTAAAA